AAAACATTTTGATTTCCGAGAGACTAGACCCGGCGAAACTGTACAGCAGCAGCGAGAGAGGCTTGGAGTCAGGTGCAACAAGCAAAGTGATCCTTGGGGTATTTTCTCCCCTACCCGGCCCAAACTAGCAGCTCAAGTTACAGGAAGGGGCGCGTGTTAATTTATTAGATGTACGCCATGTAAAGCTTCCAAGCAGCATCTACGTTTTATTTTCTTAAAAAATATATATATGTATCAGCAAAGGTGTGGGGAGAAACCCATCTTAAGTCCACCTGACTGTGCATGACCAAGCAGTGACCGCTACTCTGCCCCTCCTACGCTTTCGGTGGCATTGCCACCACCACCGCGCCGCGCTCCGGGCGGCCGCGCCTGTCACTCAGACACTGGCGGCTGATGGGGCACCCAATCGGTTCAGCTCAAACCACTGGCAGTGGGGCCGCCGCCTTAAAAACCCTTATGAGAAGTACCATATTGTTATATTCACAGACCCTAAAACCAAGTCTGCCTAATGGAATTTTTTCACAGCTTTGCAATAGTCGCAGCTGACCGAGTCAACTGTTGTTCTGTAGATGCGGAGAGGGAAGAAGGTAAGGGCTAAAGCACAAAACCCTCCTTTTTTTTTTTTTCTTTTGGAAGTAGTTCTGAATCGCTAACCTGGGTGCATCCTTCATCCTTCTCCAAGCTACCTGACAAATCACAGAAAAGGGGATTTAGCTTCCTACGTGCAGTGAACCTTATCCCCACACCTCAGTCCAGCCAATATATAAACGTGAAACAGTCTCAAACTAAGAAAAAAAAAAAAAAAACAAAAAGAAAAAAAAAGAAAAAAGTCACACTGTGCTTAGTCTTTGGTTTCCAAGTTCAAAGGAGGAATCTGCTTCAAAGCTTGAAGCAGAGCCGAGGAGTCGATAGGGGAATGGGCTGGTACGGGAGAAGGGAGTCTCTGGGGCATCAGCAGAGGCGGGGAGATTTTATCGGGGTTCATGAACCCTGTAAGTGCTGCGGCAGAGGCTGGGAGGCTGGGGTACAAGACAGGTACGGACGCTGGGTACCAGCACTTCTCCAGCATGGGCAGATATGCTGTTGCGGATGGTGGGATCAAATAGAAAGGCAGGCACAAGGGCGGCTGGTGAGCGTGGGGGCCCAGGAAGCTGCTGGAAGAGCCCATCATGTCGCTGCCAAAAGGGCCCTCGTCCTCCGGCGACTCCAGCCTGCTCCTTTTGGCCGGCGGGTCCTCAGTCTCTTGTTTAATAGAGCTTATTCTCTCCTGGACAGCATACTTGAGTTCGGTATCCTTTTTGAAATACTGCTGTTCGGATTTGGAGTCACTTTTCTCCAGCTCTCCCCCATACCCGCTGTCCGTGTCTGTGTCGCTGCCGCTCTGCTCCCCGCTGGAGTGAGCAAATGTCCTCTGGATCACAGGCACGCAGTTTTTCCCGTGTCCCTCTGCCACTTTGGTCAAGGAGACAGGCTTCTCTTTCAAGTCCACCATTTTAGGAGGGATGTCTCCGGCCTTGCGGCCGGCTCCGCCCTGGAGCACCTCAGAGGCCATTCGGTGCAGATGGCTGACCAGCTGGGACGACTTCAGGTCCTTGCCGTTCTCATGCTTTGCCAGGTATTGCAGCATTTCCTTGGCACACATCTGGAAACCGGATCGAAACATTTCCTGGCTGGAATCAAGGTTTCTTGATGACAGGTCACCTGAGGAAACATTAACAGAAAGAAATTAAAAATTAACAACATGCTAAATAGTTCCATTACCATCTTGGAGGCGGACTGGGGGCGATACTAAACTTTGGTTACAGCACAGCTAGGGAGGTGAACGTGATGGTCAGCCTGAACTCTGCGTACAGTCCCCTGACTTCTGCACAAGCACGCATTTTTATCTGAACATCTGCCTGTCCACTTTCACATAGTAACTTTGAAGTTATTTTTTAGTTCTGTAGTGACTGTATATGCCACCTTCACCAGGTGCTGAAGTACAGAGCAGAGGAGTGACTCAAGCTGGTGCCTTCTCCGGGAAACACCCTGAGGGGAAGGCAGAGCGCACCTCACCCTTCACCTCCAGGCAGAGAGCTCCTGGAGCACGTCTACCCGCCGGCAGCGGCTCCACTCCACCAACCTCGGGCGCTTTTGCTTCAGCTTGAAGCTCTATTGCACTCCCTGTGGCTGTCAGAGCGGTGGAAGGCTCTTCAGAAAAACTGAATTTTACTTTATCAGATTCACATGAGTGCCACATGTGAAAAGAGAAGGAGGAAGTGCATCTAAAGCATGGTAAGTTGATAGACCAGGTCCCCTCTTTCTGTCTGCAGAACACAGGCTAGCTCGTTTATAGAGACCTAAAAAAGGTGTGTACAAAAAGCAGATTTATATGTCGTTTCAGAAAAAAACCCCAAAAAACAGCAAACAAACAAAACTGGGTTTGATCCAAAGCTCATGAACACGAACGAGGAGATTCGAATGGCTTTGAAAAGAACCTCACCGCAAACCTGGGCTTTAAATAAAACTACTTAAAATCCAATTTAATTTCAAAACAACTCCGCAGGGTACTCTACATTGCCTGTGTTGAGAAACGCATCTTTTTTTTGCGAAAGCTTATAAGCAAAGCGAGAGAAAATGATGGTGATTAAAGGCAGGGACTCCTGCCTCCTCCCTTCTCAGGAACGAAGTGTCACAACTGCATTTCAAAGGCTCCCAGAGAAAGTCCATCAAGCGCGCGCAGGTTCTCACACGATACGATTTGAATACTCACCCGCTTGTAAACCATTCTGCAAAGCAATTATTTTCTGCTGCTGCTGCTCAATGAGATTGGTTAGGGCTTTCACATGCTTCAAGGTGAGCTCGAGAACCACAGCCTTTTCCAAGTGCCCTAGAGTCTGAAAGCAAAGGGACAGGTTGGCGTCTGCCATGGGGTCGGCCACGCAGGCAGGAGCCTGACGGGGCTGCCAAGGCTTTCCGAATAACAGATGAAGGACCGTCGGAGTTTGGAGAAAAGGCTTGAAGGCAGTGCCTTGATCCTGCATGCTACGGGGCTATGAACAACAACATTCCACAAAAATACGCTAAAAAGCAAGTTCCAGAAAAGGCTATCACGGAACCCTGTGGGTATTTTCAGACCAGCCGCAGAGCTCCAAAATAAGTATTTTATTTTTCCGCT